AAAAACATCCTCAGGTGAGGATTAAAAAAAGACAGCAAGTTAAGCTGCAGTAGAAACATAGATCTTTGGTTTTTTTAATTGTATATATTTTTAGCATAATTACATTGAGAGACTAAAAGAATGAAATAATGGGGAATAGAATGACGAGCTGCCTTAACTTATTGAGTAAACAAAGATAACATGTAGGTAGAATTTTGAGGGTAAGGTTAAAAGGGAAATAAAAGGAGATAAAGATTATTTTCTAGAAATGAGGCAGGATAATTTTCAGTCTTTTGGGAGAGAAAAGCACATAGTTCACTAGATATTCTGGGATAACTTTTTAATTAAACGATTCAGGGATCAAATAATATTCTATCTGTGAAGATTTTGCAAATGAAACAGTTTCAGTAAATGTGTTGTGATGTGTTTTTCTGGTATGATTGTTGGATTGCAGATATACGCGATTATTTTGATAGATAGTATCAAAATTCCTCACTAAGTTTTGGAACATTGTGAAATAGGGAATTTTTTTTGTTTTTCATTTTCTCCTGAATTAAAAACAGTGGTTTTATATCTTTAATTACCTCTATCACTATGGACTCAACACATCCTAACATACTATGACCTGAGCTAAGAAATCAAAATAGCTGTCCTCTCTTTAAGACTTGTCAAACCTATGTTTGCTAACTAAATTACAAATTTAGGATTTTGAAGTCCCTTCTTGGCTTTTTTACTTACACTTGGACATTCTTTTTATTGATGGAGAGCATATGCATTTTCTATTGCTGCGTGACAAATTACTACAAATGTTTAGCACATTAAAATAACATCATTTTATTAACTCAGAGTTCAGTAGCTCAGAAGTCTGGTATGGCTCTTATCTTGAGGTTGTGAAAAATCCATTTTCAACCTCACTTAGGTTGTTGGCAGAATTCACTTCCTTGCTGTTACACAACTTAGGACCCTATTTCCTTGCTGACTCTCTGATGGGTCCTGCACTCAGCTTCTAGAGGCCACCCTCTTTCTTTGCCACGTGGTTCCCTCCATCTTCAAGCACAGCAAGAATTGCTCGAATCCTTGTGCTTTGAATCTCTCTCAGGCTTGCTTGTCTGCCACCAGCTAGAGAAAACTCTTCAGTCGGATTGAGCCTACCAGTAATCTCCCTGTCTTAAGGTCTGCTGGGCTATAAACATAATCACTTTCATGGCAGTGATATCATATACATAGGATCCACAGATTAGGACATGGAACCTTGAGGCAGTGGTGGGGAGAGGGAGGATCTACCAGGATGAGCAAGAGATGAACCTGGATATTTTTTAGGTTAGAAGGGGGAAAATACATTCCACCAAAAATCTTTTCCTATTTGGTTCTGTACTTCACTTTTTTCAGTTTCTGGAATGTGGGCAGCTATGGGAGCATGAGTACATTGTGGCCAGGGAATCCGGAAATATTTTTTAAAATATTACAAATTTATTGGGTACATTAGAGAATGGATTACCAGGCAGCCGATGGAAACATGTCACTAATGTTTTTAAGAGAAGCATCAAAAGCTCAGTCACACAGCTGTCCAATTCTCATTTCTTTCACCACCCTACCTCCCCATTTTAGTTTCTGTTGTATACTCGTTTTGATTGATGCTTGAGAGCTTCGTGTGGGTCATTTTTGTATATGTGCATTTAAGTGTTTCATTTCTCTTGTAGACTACCTGATTGCTACCCTTTAATTTGATTTCTGTTACTGTTTTTATTCCTTCTGTTTTTTCCTTCCCAATTCTCTTGATGTCTGTATTCTCATGACTGCTAAGAACTGTTATGGAAGACTAAGATGGCACAGAAGAAATGGACAGCTGCCAGAGCAGAGCCAGTGGAAGGGTCATAGAATATGTGACAGGACTGGACATAAGTCACATAGGACAAATGTTTAACGAAGATAAATACAGTTGATCCTTAAACAACATGGGGGTTTGGGATGGTGACACCCTACACAGTTGAAAATTGTATATAATTTTTTACTCCCCCAAAACTTAAATACTAATAGCCTACTGTTAACCGGAAGCAAATTAAGACATATTTTGTATGTGTGTTATATACTGCACTCTTAAAGTAAGCAAGAGAAAGTATATTTACAGCACTGTATGTATTTATTGGAAAAACCCGCATGTAAGTTGATGTGCGCAACTCAGACCTGTGGTGTTCAAGGGTCAACTGTAGTTCTGTTGCTTAATTGTCATAAACTATTTTATAGAAAGGAACAAGTGAGACGGTTGCATACACAATTACAGAGAAGAAAGAAGCTATCCATATTAATACTATCCAATTATTTAATAACGTTTTAGTGAATATATGTGTTGTTGAGCTTGCTTGTTAGAAATGCTCAGATAATTTTGGGGTAAGAATTTCGAAGTGACTCGAATACATGTGGTAAAAGTAAGAGGTTTATGTGGTAATTTTGCTGAGGGGGCAGCCTCCAGACAGAAGTGCTTATTAAGCAGGCTGGTGTTGTCCCAAATACTCAATTAAAGGTGTTAGTGAACTATCTAAGAATATTTTTCCAAAAGAGCAGGAAACGTAGAACTAAATAGAAAAGTCAAATCTTATAACTTTAAATTTAAACCATGTGGTGAATCTTAAATTGGAGGGCTCCCTGTGTAATTGGGTAATTTTCTTTGAGGTAGATCTGACCTTTATTTTTTTAACATGTTTAATTTCCTGTGTAAATGCTTAAATGTTAACTAATGATAGTACTTATTCTGATACATTACCAGGAAAAACTCACTTTTTATTTTGACATTTTATTTCTTTGATTTCCTCCTTTCTCCCCCACCCACCTACCACACACAGAGAAGACAGAGAAGCGAGGTTTCTAGCCAGTAAAATGGGCATCATAGCAACATTCCGGTCATGGGCAGGTAAGTTACTCTGTGCTGCTTTATAACATTCGATAAGAAAAATTTGCCTTTGTTTTCAAATGTTAAAGTATTATTGCAGCATCTAATTTAGATGTTATTCTAGCCTTAACCTTATGTGTTATTTTTGGAGCCAAAGGGATTTGTGCAAAATTATTAAATTTGACTATTTTTATGTCTGTGTACTCAGGATTACCTGGGCAATTAAAAAACATTAAATGTGATTTATACCCCAAAAAAGGGTGTTAGCTGTATATGTAATTAAAGTTTGTTACCTTAAAGTACAATATAAAATGTCTTTAATACCAAATAAGCAAGATAGGCCATTAGTAGTCTTAAATTTCTTGAGAAAGAGGGATTGTGAATGTTCTATCTCCCTGTGGAATAAAAACAAACATTTTTCTTAAAATAATATCACCACTAAGTGTGTTATTTTATATTAATAATTATCTTCTTTCTTCTTGACTTTGTAGAGTAATTTAAGGAATAGCATACAAAGGAACGTAGGAGTAAACAAAACAATAAAATTTACCTAAACATTTCTGCGTTCCTAAGTAACCCTAACAAACAGATATATTTTCCATACAAATTACTATCCCAGCCATTGGCACCTAGCCAGGATATATTCAGTGACTTCCTCTGACCTCAGTGCTTTGGTAAAAACTCCATTCATGCTGTATACCTCATGACTGCCTATTTCCCCTTATCCTCATGGATAAACCTAGGTATTTATGAGAGCCCAATGATCACATGTTCTTTTTTATACTTAACCAGCCTCCACACACTGTTTCAATATAGAAACCAATACAGCCCTCTTGCCAAGTTTAACTATCACTGCCCTTACCACGAAACTCACTATAACGTTGTTTTCTATAGCTAAAACTATCATCCTTTGCCATCCTTCAGCTTCCTTGCCATTAGAGCTGTTTCTGTTTTACCAAAACATGAATTCTATCCTGCTCTAACCACCAGTATAGCCTAGCTTCTATCTTCTCATTCTCATTGTTTAGGTAACAAACTTTAATTACATGTACAGACTCTCCTCTCCTATCACTGTGCCTCTAACCTCTGCCAGTCTCTTCCCTTGCATCTCTTAAACATTCTTTCCACCATGCTTCAGTTTGTCCTGTAGCCCTTACATACTGATTCATCATTAGAAACTTAGACAGTTGAGAGTCTTCCGCCGTTCTATTAAAGTAAAGAGAGAATTACTGGCACTGAAACTCTGAAAACATTTTTCTCACAGAAGTAATTTCCTAAATAATAATTAGATACTGTGGTACTATTTATGAGTTAGATAAGCTTTTGCTGAAATTATTGTATACATTTCAATATACAAATAACTGATTGACAAATGAATTCCAGAACAGTTTCTTCATGAGTGTAAGCGCCTGTTTTCCCTATTAGCGTAGAGTATGATCTGTAATGTATAATCTCTCACATTACATCAAACATCAGAGTTTGAGAAATACTGTTTTGATGGCTTAAGCAAACAATTTTGAACCCAAACTCAAAGAGGAAATATAGATTACTTATAAATATATGTGCTTAAAAGTAACGGAACTTCAGAGTCCTATGTGACTTTTTAAAAAAATATATATATATCTTGCCGGGCCAAGCATGGCTCAGCGGTTGAGCGTCGACCTAGGATCCAGACGATCAGGGTTCGATTCCCGGTCAGGGCACATGCCCGGGTTGCGGGCTTGATCAATGACTCTCTCATCATTGATGTTTCTCTCTCTCTCTCTCCCTCTCCTTTCCTCTCTCTGAAATCATGTGCCCTGACTGGGAATTGAACCTCAACCGCCTGGATCCTAGGTCGATGTTCAACCGCTGAGCCACACCCCGCCGGACCCTATATGACTTTTAAAAAATATTTTCCCCAACATTTTATTATCAAAAATTTCAAATGTACAGCAAAATTATACAGTGAACACCCACATATTTCCACCAATTAGATTTTGCTCTGTTTGCTTCATTGCATACTTGTTCCTCTTCCCATCCCCTCTGTAAGCTCATCAGTCTTCTCTTACTCTAATGCGTTTCCAAGGAAGTTGCAGATTTCAGCATTCTTAACTCCTAAACACTACAGCATGCACATGATTACCTAGAGTTCAGTATTTGTTTATGGTCCTGATTATTTTTGTTTGTTTCTGTGGGTGGGTTTTTGTGGTTTTTTGTGTGTTTTTTGGTAAAAACAAAACAAATTTTCATGGGTATGAAACAATAGAAGAAGGAAATAGAATGATAAAATTATTCGTAATCTCTAATCAGTAGGGAAATTCAGAGAATTTGAACTATATTATCAGTTATGATACCCAAGTAATATAATCGTATAATTTAAATTATATAATTATATTACCTAGAAAAATATCACAGATTTTATACTCTGGATACACTACTAAAATTATTTTGAAATTCAAGTCAATGATTTTTTTCTTTTACTTTAGGTATTATTAATTTATGTAAACCTGGAAACTCTGGGATTCAGTCTCTAATTGGAGTACTTTGCATACCAAATATGGAAATAAGGGTAGGCAAAAAATTTTTTTGATTGTTTCATTTCTGGACTTTTAATAAAGGAGAGTTGTAAAAAGGTTATTTTAGATGCTTTATCCTTGTGAATTGCTAATCTGTATCATAGAGAATTTTAAAAATACATAAATATTTATGACTTAGTTGAATCCTAAAGATAATATGAATCATTAGAAATGCTGCTGTGGTTAGGAACTATGGCTGTATTAAAATTGGATTAAAATATGGAATTAATTCTGGTTTATTCATTAAATTATACAAACAATACAGAAGGGCATTCTCACTATAAAAGGTTTAAGCAATGCAGAAATATATTTAGGAAAAAGTAACTGGTACTTATGTATCTTCTGCCTTTTAACTTACGGTTTTATAATATGAGTGGTTTTGATTAAAATTGGGTTGTTAATATGTATATGCTTATTTATTAGATATATTTCTAAATTATTAGCATATAGGAATTTGTATTAGACAGCTAAAACAAATTGAAATTGGAGGGGGGAAAATTAACTTTTCCCCTTGAATTTTATTTTGTTTTAATTTGTTCAAAGGATTAAAATTTTTCCCTTTCATGTTTCTTGTTTAAATGAATCAAACTTGGAGTTGAAAAATATTATTAGAAAATATTCGCCAGGGGTGCCTCACTTAAAATGTGAACTGAAAAGCATTTATACCATGGAAATGGAAGGATACGGTTATAGGTGGAAATATCCAGAAGCTGGCAACTAGAGGTTGGGGCAATTCAGTTGACTTCCTTCACAGCAGATGATGAAGGAACATGGTTCTTTGGAGTCTCGCTGATTGATTGAGATTTGACTCCTAGTTTTATTTAGAGTTCCATGACCTTGGGCACATTATTTTTAATCTTCAAACCTATATCTTCATGTGTATAGTTAGTGGGGTTACTAAAGATTTATTGAAGAGATTAAATTGTGCATTTAGTAAGCATTTAGTAGTTATTTTTTATCTAATATAGGCCTGATAACAGTAGTTTTCTGAAATATATTCTGTTTCTTACCAGCTTTTTGTTTTGTGAAAGGACATTAAAAACATTTTTAAGCAAAGATTTTTTTTTTCCATAAAAGTAAATAAACTGTGTTTATTTGCACTTGCAGCGAGGTCTGCTTGAAGTACTTTATGATATATTTCGTCTTCCTCTGCCTGTTGTGACTGAAGAGTTCATAGAAGCGCTGCTCAGTGTAGGTAAGTATTGAAGTACAGCTGTATCTATTCAAATGTTGTTACTTTTAAAGTGGTGTACCTAATGGAGACAGTCCCTCAAAGAAAAAAGACTAAACTAAATATTAAATCTAATTGACTTTTTTTTATTGCATCACACTGGCATGAAATTAATGTAAAAATAAAACCTCTAATAAATTTATAAAAATAAGAAATTTTTAATTTCTTCTCTGTCATCCTAGCTCTTCAAATGAGCAGTGAAATTAATAGCAAGATGGACCAAGAAAGGAAGAGGAGACAATAAGAAACCTATATAATTCTCAAATTTTGTGTCTAATTCCTGTCTTATTTTATTTTAGCCTAATGATCCCAGAGTCCCAAAATAAAGTTAGATTTGTGTACATTTACATAAATCATTTTTTTCTGTATGTCTTTGAAACTTTTTTTCTAACCAACATTTAAAAAGATTATTTATAGCCTGGCTAGCTGGTAGTTACATACACTTATCTGAAGTGTTTCAGTAACATCTAATTTTCTCTTAACTACCTAATTTTAACTATTTTAGATCCAGGTAGATTCCAAGACAGTTGGAGGCTTTCCGATGGCTTTGTGGCAGCCGAGGCAAAGACTATCCTTCCTCATCGTGCCAGATCCAGGTAGAATTTAGATAGAGAAATGGTTCAAATTTATTACCACTACTGTTTTTATGTTAAATAATGGAATATGTGGAATATTAGTGAAACTGTTTCTGTGCCATGTTTATTACAGGCCAGACCTCATGGATAATTATTTGGCACTGATACTCTCCGCATTTATTCGTAATGGACTTCTAGAGGTAAGACTAATAAACATTATTTTATTTACTTTCTTTTTATTTATTTATTTTAGCTAACAAAATTCTTTCAGAGCAGTGTACATATAATGCACAAATACGTTCATGTATACTATTTTGTAACTACGGTATTTTATTTTTATTTTTAAAGGGTTTGGTTGAAGTGATAACAAACAGCGATGACCATATCTCAGTTAGAGCTACCATCCTTTTAGGAGAGCTTTTACATATGGTAAGCTTTTACATATTAATGATGTGTTTCATATTATTAATATTTTAATTTATCAAACAGGTTATTTTAATTAACAATGTTACTTTGTATTATCTCAAAGAATAAACACATATTTTTGGATAGATATCTTTGTATTACAAAGAGCCCTTGATGTCTTGTATCTTGATACATACACACACACACACACACACATAAAAATAAAAAAATAGGCTAGTTTCAGAAATGAAACAAATATAAAAAATACAAAGTACCAAATACTGATTTTACAGTAAATTTTAATGTTAACAATTTGAGTCCCATAAATCTTAGTCTCTCTTAGACTTTCTACCTACAAAGCAAGGAATTATAAAACTATAGATATTACTTCAATCGGCTAGGAATGGAATGTGGTAGTCAGTACCTGAATTTTAGAAAACTTAGTGCAGAAGTTCTAAATATAACTGCCTTGTTTGAACATAGTCTCTCTGTAAACTTACAGGTTGAGGTTTGCAGGGTGAGAATCTTTTTCTTTTTTTTGCCATGGTATTGTGATATCAGTAACTTCTGGAAACAAGGAGCTAGGAAAGTGATCTGACCATTCCTTACTCCCAGCAGATCAAGCAATGAGAGAACTTAGATTTTAAGATAGAAATTCATATTTGTAAGTCACCTCTTAATAAAATACTAAATAAAAAGAACCATTTTGAACACATTAAGGAGAAGTAACTGAATGGCAAATCTTTCAAAATTATATTATGGTTTGCTGTTACTGGCAGAGTATTTTTTTTGTTTTTGTTGTTGTTTTAGCATGCTGTTCCCCAGTTGTTTGTTTGTTTGTTTATTTTCCACATAACAGCTGGGCTGTGTGAGTGAAATAAAGGGAATTAAGCAGAGGCTAGTGATAACTGTCTTATCAATGAATTATTTAGCCACTTGCTCTGTTTTCTTTCAGTCCATCTGTGAAAGAATTAAGTAATATTGCAGGTTCTCAAGTTTGATTATTTTTATTTTTAAGATATTTCCTGTAAGCATCTCAATATCCATAATTATTTGTTTTTATATGAAGGAACCACTTTTATAAATTTCATCTGTTCCTTTGGCCTATACACCAGAATTCTACGATTCTTTTGAAATATTAAAGCTGGTGATTTTGAGTAGTATAGTGGTGTTAGTTCATTGCTTATTATTCTTACATCATCTGGCTTCCACATTTGATTAATTTAATTATCTTCATTGATAAAAGCAGATTGAGTGGTAGAATTTTGTTTGGAAAGCAGGAGTTAGTAGGTTTCTTACTTTAAATATTGTCAGAATATGAGACTAACCTGTTTTGAGAAAGTGAATTTTAAAATTTATGTCAACTTATAAGTTATGGTATTGCATCTAGCATTTTAAATATTACTTTTAATGTAACATTATAGCTCTGGATCTGAGTTTTGATACATTGTTTTTTGAGATCATTTAAGAATTGAGTTTAATCTTGTACCACTTAAAATTATAATTAAATGTTGCAAAAAAATATATGAAATTTATAGTTTTATTCATGTAATGCGAGTCTGTATTTGTTACATCTCCTCATTGAAAGTAGATAAGGTAAAACTTATAAAGAAATATGTATTGGAAAGTAAATGATTAAGTTAATTTCGTAAGACCTTAGAGTCTTTAGTATTATGTCTGTGGATATCCTAGAACATAAAATATTTCTGTTTCTCAACTCTCACAGAATTTGTGTTTAATTTTAGGCAAACACAATTCTTCCTCATTCACATAGCCATCATTTGCACTGCCTGCCAACCCTAATGAATATGGCTGCATCCTTTGATATCCCCAAGGAAAAGAGACTGTAAGTATCAGAGTTCTAGCAAAGTTTGTGCCTGGCACCTTTAATACCCACTTGGATAACCTACTCTCCTTTTTAAAAAGTAGTATATATAAGTTATGCTTAGAAATTCTTTTAGGGAAGCCTTCTAGATAAGAAGAAAATTAATAGTTTTATTTAATAATTTGTATTTTAGGCCACATGTTTTTGGACAAGGACATAGACTTTCTACCAGATCACTAAAAATGTGGGTTGTGAGTTTTTTGGACTATTCTATGTTTTGAGCAGCAATTCAAACTTAAAAAAAAATGTCTAATTTTAAATGAATAAAACACAAAGATTAACAGTGTATTCTTTTATATGTGGGTTAAAATTAATCTTGGAAATTAGTAACCCATATTATAGGCATTGAAATAAGCTATAATGTGAAGGAAATATTGCAAATAGAATTTATAAACAAAAGTATCATAATATAGCTATAGCTCTGCTGGAATTCCCATGCTAATAATAAAGGTGGAGGAGCTTGACTGGGAAGTGCTATTAGGAGTCTTTTCATTTGGTAAAGATTATGTCTAGACCAGGGGTGTCTCTTTTTTCCCAGTTATGACCAAAAAAATCTATATATTTAGACCTCTTATTTTTTTTGTCATGTCAGTGAAATGTAGTTCATTAGCTGTTCAGAACTATGGATTTGGTTAACAGTTATAATACATTCTCAAAAGTTTAGTTAGCTTTATTTAGAAGTACACATGGGCCTCACTATAGATAAATAATATTCTGTTTATTGATTTTAATTCTGCCAATGAAAATACTATTTAACAAACTGAAGTTGTATTATAAACTAAGAGCATTAGTGACCATCTTAGTGCTGACTCTAGGCTTACATTAGTAATGGCAGCTTTCAGCTTTTATTCTAGTAGTTTCATGATGGAAAAATATACTTTCCCAAAGCCTGTTAGACAAACTTTTCTGGGTCAGATTATGCCCATGAATTTCTTCATACATTTCAGCAGTATTCTTGATTTTTTTTTTCTTTGTGGTTTCAAATTTGATTAAATAATTTACTTTTTAGTAACTGTCTCTATCCTTGAATTTATATGTTTTAATAGAGTAATTTACCAAAGTGATCTCTTTAAAATTATGCTGGCTTGCTACAGTGTTAATTGAATTTTTTTCCAATTAGGCGAGCCAGTGCAGCCTTGAACTGTTTAAAACGCTTCCATGAAATGAAGAAACGAGGACCTAAGCCTTACAGCCTTCATTTAGATCACATTATTCAGAAAGCAATTGCAACACATCAGAAACGGGATCAGTATCTCAGAGTTCAGAAAGATATATTTGTTCTTAAGGTACTGATATGAAATAGCAGTTTTTAACTTGGTTTCTGTAAGTATGCACATGCTTGGATTTTAGTATGCATATACCTGATTGACTTTTCAGTTTTATTCATGCATACGGATTTTCAGATGGCTTCCAACTTTTGTAATGACTAGGCAGTTTAAAGCTGTGTTTTTAAAGTTAAAAAAATTGATAATCCATTATTAAATGAAAAATACTTTCTTGTTTTTAAAATTTAAGCTTGGTTTTCTGATGTGAGACAATTTGCCTTAATTTTCCTTATTACTTCCTGATGATTTTAGGATACAGAGGAAGCTCTTTTAATAAACCTTAGAGATAGCCAAGTCCTTCAACATAAAGAGAATCTCGAATGGAATTGGAATCTTATAGGGACCATTCTTAAGGTATATGACAAGATACTTCTTGGTGATGGCTTGATTGTCCTCATTTTATTATTCATTGTAATTCATCATAATTATATGTTTGGTAATTGGTAAATACATTTATAATATAAACATTATGTTTTTCTAGTGGCCAAATGTTAATCTAAGAAACTATAAAGATGAACAATTACACAGGTAAGAACTATTTTGCTTTTAAATGTAAAGAACTTAGCTTTGAATTATACCTAATATTTGCTAAAAGTAATAATTGGTGCTTTAAAGATGCATACAGACATTGTAATAGTTTTCTACACATACATACAGATGCTCCTTGACTTACGATGGGCTTACGTTCCTATAAACCCATCCTAAGTTGAAAGATGAAAATGCTTGTAGTACACCTAACTTACTGAACATCAGAGCTTAGCCTACCTTAAACGTGTTCAGAACACAATATACGGAGAAGTCTGGCAACATAGTGCACTGTGGAATAACGGTTGTTTACCCTCATGATTATGTACCTACCTGGGAACTGCCACTGCCCAGCATCAGGAGAGAGTATTGTACCATGTATCACCGCCTGGGGGAAATTCAGAGTTCAAAATATAAAGTACAGTTTCTACTGAATGCATATCTTTCACACCATCATAAAGATGGAAAATTGTTAGTCGAGGACTATCTTTTTATACATTTTTATATATATGTAGTCATTTTATAACCAGTAAACATCAGTTAATTTTCTTTTTAGTTATTTACATTCTGGTTTTAGTTTTGTTACTCATGAAGTACTTGATATAAAAGTTTCTCAAATTGGGTAATATCAACGATGTAGTAATCTTAGCCCTAATATATGAGGATGGCATAATAAGGACCTAGTGTTTCCCTCCCAAAATGATGGTCATTACTAACATTCCACTTTTACTTCTTTTTGCATCTCACTTTGGAGGGTTAGCCATTCTCCATCCTCTACACTCCCCTTAATCAAGTTAGTGCTCCACACCTTCCCCCAAATATACTCCTGTTCATAGCGCATACAGCTCTTCACGCTCCCGTGCTGTTCTTTAGTACCGCCTGTATTGTACTGCTCCTGAGGTAGGCGACCAGCCGCCAGTACTGATCTCCTTGGAGAAGTAAAGAGGACCTTTACATCATGTTTTTAATTGTATTTATCAACTCATGGTATTTAACTTAATATCTGTATTAAAATTTGAGAAATATATAGAATAAATAAATTACATCGGAGTGAAGAAGTAGAGCACTAACTTTTTATACTCCTTGAGAACAGAGATGATATCTCATTCAACTGTGTTTCTCCCACTTCTGTAACTGGCACATTTATTAGATCGGACTGTAGTGAATGAAATTAAGTTGAACTAAATTAAATGGAAGCTTAGAACATAATGTTGAAAACTATTAACATTGAAATGTCATAAATTATGTTCATTGCTTCATAAATTCAGTAACCTAAAATTTACCTGCTGCTTTTATACTTGGCGTTTTGCCTAACTGTGAAAAAAATGACAAAATCATAGTGTGATAACATGCTTACAGTTACCTAGTATAAGATTATTTTATAGAACCATGGTGCATAGTTCTTCATAACATACAATAGAAGAAAACTTATGTCCAAGTACCTTTCTCATATTTATCCAGCCTTCTAGCTATGTTATATATTTGCATTTTTCCTGCTAGTGCCTTTCTTCTCCACAATTTCTTTCGGGCCATTTACCTCAGTGGTTTAGACATAAGACATTCAGAACATTATTGTTTCATAAGATATGGTTTAAGATTCTAAAATAATTGTTCGGTTTCTTTGCTGCTGATTTAATGTTGATCTTAGGTTTGTACGAAGACTACTTTATTTTTACAAGCCCAGCAGTAAGTTATATGCTAACCTGGACCTGGATTTTGCCAAGTCGAAGCAGCTTACAGTCGTGGGCTGCCAGTTTACAGAATTTCTTCTTGAGTCTGAAGAGGTAATAAACACTGAATATTTTCCAGGACAAATGTTTTTTGTTGAATTTGCTCCCTTTTATTTCTGAATATGCATAAACTATATTTAGAAACATGGGGAATGAGCACAGACCTAGATGTGAATCCTGCTAGTTTTGCAACTTTGGGCAAGTAATTTGCCTTCTAGAAGACCTGGTTTTCTCCTCATAAAATGGAAAATAACACCCTCTCCATGCAGCATTGTGTCTAATGGGATTAAAAACAACAGGTACTCAGTGATTGATAATCTGTATTAGTAACTTCATCATTACCATTACATTTTTTGGACTTGATTAAAGTTAATTTTTCTGGTTACAGGTACTAAGTGTTGTTCTAACAATATCACAATGTATTTGCTTTTAGGATGGGCAAGGATACTTAGAAGACCTAGTAAAGGATATTGTTCAGTGGCTCAATGCCTCATCTGGAATGAAACCTGAAAGAAGTCTTCAAAATAATGGTTTATTGACTACCCTCAGTCAACACTACTTTTTATTTATTGGAACACTTTCTTGCCACCCTCATGGAGTCAAAATGCTGGAAAAATGTAGCGTATTTCAATGGTGAGCATTCCTAGATTCTATTTTTCATTGGTCATTAAATGCTTTCTTTTAGAATGCCTATTTATATTAGGAATTTAAAAATATTTGGTGAATTAACAAATTGATACAATAAATTCTAGTAACCTTCATTATTTTCTTTCTGGCTTTTTAGTCTCCTTAACCTTTGCTCCTTGAAAAACCAAGATCACTTGCTAAAACTGACTGTTTCTAGCTTGGACTATAGCAGAGATGGGTTGGCCAGAGTCATCCTTTCCAAAACCCTAACTGCAGCCACTGATGTGAGTATAGCAGGCAATAATACTCTGGGTTTTTTATAACCAGATAATTTATTACTTTATAGATTTTAGCCAAATAAAATTAATTCTAAATTGTAACAATATGGGATAGAATTTGAGCTTACTATAAAATTTTAGTTCCTCCAAAGAACTCCCTGTAGTACTCATTTTTATTTAAAGGGGAAGAAGCAGCTAGATAGAAACAGAATTATTTCATTTTTCTAGCCTCTAAAAAAATATTCATATGAAGGGCTAGATCATCAATTCCAAGTTTTTGCCTGTTTAAAGTGGCAGAACTGTACCAAAATAAAGTTAAATAGGCTATTCGTGGTGAAGTTCGTGGGTTTTTAAAAATGTTACTTGTCTCTATAGGCCTGCAGGCTGTATGCAACAAAACATTTAAGAGTATTATTGAGAGCAAATGTTGAATTCTTCAATAATTGGGGAATTGAGTTACTAGTGACCCAGCTGCATGATAAAAACAAAACGATTTCTTCTGAAGCTCTTGATATCCTCGATGAAGCATGTGAAGACAAGGTGATGGTTCATTATTTTCTAATAAAATATATAGACGTCAGTTTCTATGAAATATTCAGTTTTAATAGGAAACTGTGAAGTTATAATAGGTGTTTTGAAAATAGAGAATTTACTATCTTTGTGCAATTGTTAATTTTTCTCATATTTATTTTAGGCCAATCTTCATGCTCTTATTCAGATGAAGCCGGCTTTATCCCACCTTGGGGACAAAGGTTTGCTTCTTCTCCTGAGGTAAACTTTTAACGTTTTCCTTGTAGCTCCGCGTTCTGTCATGTTCTCTCTGGCATGTGTCTTAAAGCTGGGTTCGGGCCTGAAAACGGTGCACCCTCAGGAGTTCAGCTGTAAAGTCTTTTAGCTCCTTAAACATATTTTTTGTTCGAGATATTTTAGCCTTAACGTTTTTTGTCAGATTCAGTGTTAAACTATTGATTGTTTTTATTTTCAGATTTCTCTCCATTCCAAAAGGGTTTTCCTATCTGAATGAAAGGGGCTATGTAGCAAAACAATTGGAAAAGTGGCACAAGGTAACTTTCTATTGAACAAGGTTCAATTTATATATTTTTATGTTGGGAGACAGATTTGTGAATTTGGAGGTTTTTATTATATCATCATTTTGAAACTAAAAATGTTGAATATTTAAATTTTATATGAAGTCCTCTCAGTTCTATATAATTCGTATTTATATTTACCCTTTTTTAAACCACAATTAGTGGATAGCGAACTATTGATATCGTGTATATTCGTGTATAGTGTATTGAAATTTAGATCACCTCATTCTCTTTAATACCTACATAGTGTGTTATTGTATGAATATACCTTAATTCTTTTAATCCTCGCCCAAGATTATGTTTTCATTGATTTTAGAGAGAGAGGGAAACATTGATTGGTTGCCTCCTGTCCACACCCTGACTGGGGATCAAACCTGCGACTCTTTGGTGCTTGGGATAGTGCTCCAACCAACTGAGCGACACTGCCAGGGCTACCTTAATTTTTATAACCACTGTTGTATTAATGGGTTATTTCCCATTAATAGATTATTTCCAACATTTTAGTTTTGTAAACAATGTTTGCTAGATATTCTTGCATATATATCTTTTCATACTTTTGCAAGTATGTCTGTCGGATAAATGTCTAAAAGTTTAATTGTGGAGTCAAAACGTATGTGAATTTAAATTTTTGATAAATACTGCCAAATTGCTTCTGAAGAGGTTCCACCAATTCCTTCTAAGCACTTGGAAGTGAAGATCTTTTGCAGTAAGGGTGGCAATGTGATTGACTAAATGTTTTCCATGTTTTAGTTGGAAACATTTTTTACTTTTGTCATCAGTGGGGAAAGAGATATTATTTCTTACCAGAAGATACTAAAATGATAGAACTCAATTTCCTTTTAAAAATTTCTGGTGAATATCTTCAGTGTTTAATACTAAGAAGCTAGTTGTTTGTTTTTAATGAGGAAAGGGATTTAAATGAGATGAAAAACAAAATTATTAACTTACTTATATGGACCCCGCTGACTGAAAACCGGGGCAGGGCAGTATAAGCAGAAGTACTTTGGGTGTGCTAGAATGTTTACATTCACAGTGCTTGTTCTACTCTTTTTTTTCCCAAAAATTTCTTAAATTTCCTAAATAGATACTTATTTTTCTCATATTTATGCTCTAAGGTCTGCTAGGTACCTAACATAATATAAATTTAGTGACTTTATGATACTATATACAATTAAAACAATATCTTCTAGGAATATAATTCAAAATACGTTGACTTGATTGAGGAACAACTTAATGAAGCACTTACCACTTACCGGAAGCCAATTGATGGTGACAACTATGTTCGTCGGAGTAACCAAAGGTACCATCCAGTTAATAGAATAATTTCTTTCTGGTCCTCAAATATAAAATTTAAAACCATTTTGTAACAAATCATTCATTTCTAAAGTTTTCTGAGTACTTGGATATTCTATTTCTTATACTGACAAAGGAAAAATCTTCTTCGAGGATTGCTCAGAAATTCCAGAGGCATTCGTAGCAAACTGAGAATGCCCTTACAGATACGGCATTCACATACCCTCGGCACTCTTGGTAGTCTCTCTCTAGTCTCAGCTCACTTGTTATCACTGTGAGACCAGAGAAACTTATTTTTCTAGAGAAATCCTTATGCCTTTCCACTTCCATATTTTTGTTTGTGCTGGCGAATTATATCTAATAATTCTATTTAGTATTTAGTTACTAGTAAATGTTTTAATTAGCATATTTTAAATGAGCCAGTAGGTATTTCAGTCATCTTTATTATACCTAGATTACAGCGTCCTCATGTCTACCTGCCTGTACACCTTTATGGACAACTGGTACACCACAAAACAGGCTGTCATTTGTTGGAAGTACAGGTAAAGTATAATTTGCTTATTTTAAATAGCTTCAAAGTAGGAAAAAATCTTAATGTTGATAAAGTACTGTTTTTGCAAAAATTTCTCAAAAGCTTTAAGGTCAGTGGCATAATTGCTTTTAAGTACCCATCTTGTAACTGACTCAGGCAGTCTGTCTTGGTAATCCTTAGACATAGTACCAGCTTGTATGCATTTCCTTGATTTATGTGTCACATTTTGCAAAGCTAATTTATTCCATAAAGTCTGTAACTCAGTGATGGTCTGAGTTCTTTCCTTTATAGTGTATTGGGGAAGTTCATCTTAGTAAAAACACACTAAAGAGCTGAGTTTTTTCATTCCTTTTATTGGGAAATTAAACTGAACCTGATACAGACTCAGTTATCTTTAGTGAGCAACAAACAAAAGTTTATGTTGCTGTTTGTTAGTACCTCACTGTTCTCGTATATTTCATGGAATGTAAAGGCTTAAGCAAGCAGTTGTTCTTTGAGTGTAGTATGCATGCCATGATATGGCTGTGAATATGTCTTACAACTGGGTGTTCAATAAATAGAACCTTTTTCTTATATTAGAAATAAATAGTTATGGAAGTATTTGCATGTATAATCTAGTAATTTAGTTCCTTTTCATATCAGTGTTCATCTCAGGAACAAAAGTATTGCTTAGATATACTTTATAGTTTCAAATACGGGGTGGGCAAAATAGGGTTACAGTTGTATGTGAAACACAGTTTATTCTTGTATTATTATTTATTATTATATTTATTTGTATTACAACTGTAAACCTACTTTTGCCCACTCTTGTATTTCTGTATTATGTTATGAAGACTATTGGGGCACATATCTTCATACTAATTTTTTTTAAATTTACTAAAAATTTAAATGATTTGCTCAATGTGTCATTACCTATATAGTATTATAAAATATTGATATTAATATATTATTTTCTTTTTAAAGTAATGATAATTATGACTAATATTTTTGTAATATTAAGTATCAAGTACATTTTTAAACATTTTATATGAAATAATTCATTTAATCAAACCTTATGAGACAGTTGCTATTACTATTCCTATTTTAGAGATTAGGAAATCAAGGCATGGGGAGATGAATAACTTCTTAAGGCCACATAGCTAATAAGTGCTAATCCTAAAATGTTAGCTGAGAGTGCATGCTGTTGCTTAAGAAATTTTACATAAAATTATTTTAGAATTTTAAATATGTAAAATTTACCGAAGGCAAACCTTAAATAGGTTTTCAGATGTAATAAGAAAATACATTAAAAACAATTGTTTCTTATGTGGTTTTTTTCTTTTTTCTTTTCCAGAATATTATTGCAGAACTCTGTCACAATGTTCGTACGCCAGATTTGGATAAATGGGAAGAAATTAAAAAACTGAAAGCATCTCTTTGGGCCTTGGTTTGTAATAAATACTTCTAAAAGTATTACTTCACAATTTTTTGATTTTTCTGATTTTCCCATTAATAGTAAATAAAAGTTGTTTTATATGGAACTTGTTTTTAGGTTAATCATTTAAGACCAAGGTTGTTCTGGCTACTTTAAATATTATTTTTAAGCTAGAAAATAGGTGATTAAACTATTAGTTTTCTTACTAAGGCGAGTGGACCATTAGTTCCTAAAGTTTCTAATTTGAGGTTTATCTCACATTTTTGTCTCTCTGAGAGATGAGATTAAATTTTTTGGTTTTTTGGCTAGCGTTCCAAATCTCTTGAAAAAGTTACTCTTGAATTAGATTGAATATAAGTGGCTTCTTTTCTTTCAGGGAAATATTGGCTCGTCAAATTGGGGTCTCAATTTGCTGCAGGAAGAAAATGTGATTCCAGATATACTAAAACTTGCAAAACAGTGTGAGGTTCTTTCCATCAGAGGGTATGTTGTTTAACTCAGAAGTCTTTCTAGTGTATAATATATTGCTGTCCACAAGTGGGTGTAAGGGAAGAGCATTTTATAATTCAGAGTAATCCATTAGAACTGTTAATGCACTGAAAGTCCTAATGATAGAAGAGATTTTTAAGTGTATTAAGTTAAACATCTTAGGGAGCTCCTTGTTTAATATTATTATTATATTTTTCTCATAATATTGAAGTTTACCTTGCAAATAAACAGTAAAGTGCAGTGTGTGCTTTAATATTCCAGTGGTCCAATAGTCTAAATATTCCAAATTTATCCCAGAAAAGCTATTATATGTTTTTTTCTAAAATTGTATTATGTTCTTATCATTTATTTCCTTGTAATTAATATTTTTATCAGGAAGGTTTTCATGTTATTTATTGCTTCTAATTTACCCATAAACATTTTTCCACAAGCTTAATAGTTTTTAGTGGCTTTTGAAGAAAAATCAAATGTACATTTAGCAAATTAATATTTTGTGATTGCTTTAAGAAATCTCAGTTTGGAATTGTAAACTGTCCTTACTACATCTTTTACATATAGGACCTGTGTGTACGTGCTCGGGCTCATAGCCAAAACCAAACAAGGCTGTGATATTCTAAAATGTCACAGCTGGGATGCTGTAAGGCACAGTCGCAAACATCTGTGGCCAGTGGTTCCCGATGATGTGGAACAGCTCTGTAACGAACTCTCATCTATCCCAAGCACCTTAAGTTTGAACTCAGAGTCAACCAGCTCTAGACATAACAGTGAGAGTGAGTCTGCACCATCAAGTGAGTATCGAGACAGAGTCCTGTAAAGTTAGCCAAAATTAACATTTGTGTTTGTGACATCAAAACGTACATGTATTTGTTCCATTCCTAATTTACCTTTGTATAAGATAATTTGGAAGTAGTGGTAGCTTCTTGGAGAATGCATATCTTTTCTCAACAGAATGTATAGCTTCAACCTACATTGCCCTCTCCCCTTGCTTTCTAAATAGCCTTTGGAAAAATCCTACTTACAGAGTTAAATAATAAGCCACGTGCCAGAAGAACGGGTCTCCTTTTTTGCTCTTCATGTTTGATCTAATAAGTAAATGTTTATTTGCCTGCCTCCTTCACTTACATAGCTTTTTATTCATTTTTCAGATACAGAGATTGTTGGCTCGGGATATATTTGTTAAAAGATATATCCACATGTTCACTTTTGAAAGAAGAGCTAAATTTTAAAATTAAATAGTGAAACAGTTAAAAGATAGAGTATCAAAAATCAATTATATAAAAAACGGTTTGTGATTTTTAAGCCCTGTGCTAAATGTTAGTAGGTGTATAAAATTTAAAGCAGGTTCTTGTTAAGAAGATAGTACAGCCTTTTTCAAACCATATTTCACCAGCTCTAAGATGCCATGAAGTGTGAGATGCACCAGTATTTTATGTACCAGTAAAAAAGAAGAAAAAAATGCTGCCTATTAAACCTGATTCTAGAGAGAGTCAGTGTGAAACATGTACATCTCAGAATTGGTAGCTTGTGAAATACAGTGCAATATGCAAGTGTATGTAGGGTTTATTCTGCCTTTCAAAATATATTTGAAGTAGTTTATTCAGTAGAAAAGTTAAAAATAGAAATAGAATAAAATCCCATAGATGTCATTAGGCACCTGGGTTAAATCTTTTATTAGAGTTAAGCACTGAATTTAGATGAGTTTCTTAGTACCTATGACTAATGGGAAATAAACATAATTGGTTTAAATATGAATGTAAAATGTTGTGACTTGATTATTTCTAAGTATAATTTGTTTAAGATTGTGAATTTTTAAGATTATAAGATTAATTTCTCCTGCCTATTGTGATTTGAAGAATAAACCACCTGAAATCTGTATCAACTAGGTGAACATTCATGGGCAAGTCTTTTTTTTCTCTCTCTTTAACTTTATTCTGAATAGTTGGAGATTTTGGAAACGCACTGGAATAATGAAGAGAAACTTCATGTAAGCTGTGCCCTGAGCAGTCTCTAGCTTTTCTTTGGAAGTAACAGGAGAACCTCCTGACGACATAGTTTTATATCCTATTCAATTCCGAACTCTGAGTCTCAAGGAAGCTCTTCCCCCACGCCCACAGTACTTTTTAATTGAGTACAATTTTTTGTTATACAGATCTAATGAGGAGAGTGAAATTCTTTTGGGGAGAGATTGTATTGGTTTCCTAGGGCTGTATTACAAAATAATTGTACTCAATTAAAAAATACTGTGTGGCTCAAAACAGAAGTTAATTCTCATTGTCCTGGAGGCTGGAAGTCTGAAATCAAGGTGTCATCAGGGCATGACCTCTCTGAAAGTCTGGGTAGAATCGTTACTGCCTCTTCCTAGCTTCTGGTGATAGCTGGCAAATCTTAGCTTGCAGCTGCCTCACTCCAGTTTCTGTGTTTGTACCTGTCTTCACAGTGTTCCCTCCTTATAAAGACGCCAGTCATACTGGATTGCGGGCCCGCCCTACTCCAGTGACCTCATCTCAGCCAGTGACATCTATAACAGTCCTGTTAAGGAAACTCTTTTTGTGTGGCTCAGCAATTTAACCCTTCATTTTTGACAATGTTTACCTCATACAGCCGTTAAACAGAAATTTCCTGAACTATGTCACGATAGGTACCATGGTTTTGCTCGTCATTTTTATGTGCTGTTATTAATCAGTTCTTTGGTCACAGGTATGTTCATAATGGAGGACGACCGGTTTGGCAGCAGCTCCACAAGTACATTTTTCCTCGACATCAGTGAAGATGCAGAGCCAGCCTTTTATGATCGGCCTGGACCTGTAAAGGATAAAAATTCATTCCCTTTCTTTGCTTCTAGCAAACTTGTGAAGAATCGTATCTTAAATTCACTTACTTTGCCTAATAAAAAACATCGTAGCAGCAGTGATCCGAAAGGAGGGAAACTATCATCTGATAATAAGACAAGCAACAGGCGGATCAGAACACTTACGGAGCCCAGTGTTGACTTCAATCACAGTGATGATTTTACACCCATATCCACAGTACAGAAAACATTACAACTAGAAACTTCATTTGTTGGGAATAGGCACATTGAAGACACTGGTAGTACTCCAAGTATTGGAGAGAGTGACTTAAAATTCACCAAAAGTCTTGGTACAGAGAATCATAGAGAAAACACAAGCCGAGAGAGACTAGTTGTGGAAAGCTCAACGAGCTCACATATGAAGATACGTAGCCAAAGTTTTAATACAGACACTACAACAAGTGGCATAAGTTCAATGAGCTCAAGTCCTTCCCGTGAGACAGTAGGTGTAGATGCTACGACTGTGGACACAGACTGTGGAAGTATGAGTACTGTGGTAAGTACTAAAACCGTTAAGACGAGCCACTATTTGACACCGCAGACTAACCATCTCTCTCTCTCCAAGTCAAACTCGGTATCCCTGGTACCTCCGGGTTCTTCTCATACACTTCCCAGAAGAGCACAGTCCCTTAAAGCACCCTCTATCGCTACGATTAAAAGTCTAGCAGATTGTAACTTCAGTTACACAAGTTCTAGAGATGCCTTTGGCTACGCTACACTGAAAAGATTACAGCAGCAAAGAATGCATCCATCTCTATCTCATTCTGAAGCTTTGGCGTCCCCAGCAAAAGATGTGCTGTTTACTGATACCATCACCATGAAGGCCAACAGCTTTGAGTCCAGGTTAACACCAAGCAGGTGAGTATATGTATGTTTAAAAATGAACAGTAATGGTTGCATTTTAACAGACTTAAATGGAAAGCATTAGCTAGGTCTTACATCTACATAAAAGCCTCCGAACTGACCTATTATTGTTTAGTATGGTAGGCTGTAAGCTCCTAGTTACCCGATATGATTTGAAATGGATTCTTGCAGCTGCGAGGGGGGAAAAGAAACTCATTTAGGCCCTGCAAGTAAACATACGTACTTTGCAAGGACAAACAAGTCACAAGCTTTTTTTTATTTATTTCTCGCTTCTGCAAGGATCGATTTTAAAAAGAAGCATGTCGGGGGAATCAGGAGCTTAAGACCTACAATAACAAACAACTTTTTCAGGTAGGTCAATTTAAGGCTCCAAAAGTTGACCTCTTTTTTTAAAATAACTGAAAATTTCAGTGAAATTCTTTTTAGTTTAAATAGCTATTATTATTAAGGAAGAATCTAATGAACATTAAATGAATTACTTGGTCTTCAGGATTCAGCAATACCAATTTGCCTGTGCTCAAGAACAGTTAGGGGATTTCTGTGTCATATCTAAAGATTATAGCAAGCTGGTCACAGTAAACAATTTAGGTATGCAGTGTTAAATTTGATTGTTCCAAAAATTTCTTAATCTGTTTTTGTTGTTTGGCCAAATAGTTCTAAAATTTTTTTTAATTTTAGATTATTCGTTTACATTTATTTAGTATTTGTTAAGTACTGAGAATAGTGCCTGGCATATAGTAAGTATTCAATAAAAGTTAGCTATCATCAATAATAATTTTTTAATGTAATCCATTTGGCTCTTATATAACCAAAATCTTAATCACATTAAGACGTTATTAAGCTAACACATTTAGTAGATGGGGTTCCTGGTAGCAGATAATTATATCTCTTGTAGAATTTCATAAATTATGCAGTAATGTCTCATTTACCTGGAACACACACTGGCTTTGGCAACCTCATCAATTTAGAACAAAGCCAGACAAACCTCAACAGCTCACCAGTATAAATCTATGCAGTAAAGTTTATGAATTTTATTCAAAGGAGGTACCTCTGATCTGCCTTCAAAGTTTGTTAATATTTATTCTAATATCCTGGAGGTCCGTTTTTTAGGCCCATAGAAGCAGCAATTAGAAGTTTCTACTGGTAGGCACACTGGAACAGGAAAGGACAGCTGATAAAATTGGTAGCAGAGGAGGAAACTTTAGTACTACGAGAATAGTATTAATTTTCAAATAATACTATTTGAAAATTCAAAGACCATGACAGCCTGGTAGCATTCAGCCAGGGTCAGTAAGGAGCATAGCACACCGAAATAAACAGTAAGCGCACCACCATCTTACAGCTCAGCAATAACCACAGCGCTGTTAACTCTGGACCATCTGGTTAGGGATATTGTATCTCATTGAAGCAGGCATTTCTATCCAAGTTGATTTATGCTTTATCCAAGCATAGATAAAAAGTTGTAGTGCTTAAATATTCAGAAGAATAAAGCAGAATGACATTTACCCCAAGTTGCTTGTTCTCTAACCACTCTGGGTTCTTAGGATCTTATTTCCTGTATTCTGTGTTAGAACGGGAGATTTGGAAATTTCCTAGAGTAAAATGCCAAATCATTGGCATTATAAAGAATGAATAGGTGTCTTAATTTCTTGGGAGTGAAAAAAGTAAAAGCAAGAAAAAACAGTCAAGAGAAACAGGCATGAAGTGAAGGCACAACAGAGCTTCCTGTCTATCAAGTCTTCCATTTACTCCTCAGACTGTATTGAGTACTTTGTACCAGGTTCCATGAGGAGAAAATTGTGTTGGTGCTAGTCTTCCTATTTCTGTTCTTTGGTTAGTCCTGAGAAAATGAAAACAATGGATAATAGCTACAAATTTACTTTAAAATAATGGTTTGGAATCCAGGCTGAGAAGATTTTTGTTTGTTAATTTTCTTATAAAATTAGAAGAGTAGGCATACTGATGATGCCTGTGGTATAATGCGTAGCATGAATCCAGCCATCTTCAAAACCGTTTCTCACTGAGGGAATGCTTTGGAGCATAGCAGAAAAAACACTGAAGTGTAGGAATCTTTAGTCATGGGTTTTAATCCTGGCACTGAGCGAATGAACTTGGACAGAGTTCTGCACATTATGCTGTAATGTCTCATCTGCCTGGGATTCCACAGCTTTGCAAACCTTAGCAGTCAGAACAAAGCCAGGCAAACCTCTCGGTTGCTCACTGGTATAAATCTCTGTAGTAAAGTTCATGACTTTTTAAATATCTACACTTCATGTGCCTCCTGTAGTGGAGACTGGACTAGGTCAGAAGTTTGAAGCTTTTAAATGTTGCTTTTTAAGTAGAGAAACCCTTTCTTCACAAAAACATTTCTGTGAAAACCCAATGATATGTGGAAAAGAAAAAATGGAGCTACTCTGGTTGAAGTAGGGATTGAAAAGGCTAGTAATCCAATAATTCCTTCTGCCCACTCCAGTAGACCTTGAGCTTTATGGTGTTAGAGAGATATAACTACAATTTAAAAACCACTGACCTATTTTTTGAAATTATAAGTTTTAATTATGAGTAGTATTTAGTTGGAGATTAGTAGAGATTAAGAGTGGTTTTTGCTACAATTTTATTTATTTCTTACTCAAGGATATGTTTTTCATTTTTTCGAGAGAGAAAGGAAGGGAGCTGGGGGGTAGGGGAACATCGATCAGCTGCCTCCTGTACACGCCCCGACCAGGGATCGAACCTGCAGCCTGAGTATGTGCCCTGACCAGGAATCGAATGTACAGCCCTACAGTGCATGGGACAGTGCTCCCACCAACTAAGCCACACCCGCCATGGCACTATGATAATTTTAATAGCTACTGTTTATGAAGAATTTATTTTATATGCTTTACAAATAATTCTTTAATACCAGGCTTACATTATTACACTTTAATTGACTTGTGTTTCCAAATACCAGTGTACATATGCTGTGGAACATTGAGTAGTACCTTGTGTATACAAAGCAGATACTTAGTAAAATTTTAGCATTTCTGTTGCACTGAATAATAATCTGTCTGAGAAAGGTGTATTTTCGATCATCAGTCGGCCATACTTGTTTTGGAATCACTGGTAAGGAGTACATTGAGGAAATTTCACTGTTTCATGTAAGACTGTCTTATAATTACAAATGATACCATTTTGCTACTTTATGTCTCTCTTCTGCAGTACATGAATCTTATGCTGATAAAGCATTGAAGTAATTACCATTCAAAGAATGATAAGAAATTATTCTTATTTTTCATAAAAAACAATACTAAAGAGAGTTATACATGGGGGACCATAGCAGTTGTTTTTGGTAACAGTCAACATTACTGATAACCTTTTGCACATCACTGTATAACAGCTAAATATTTTCAAGTGTTTCCATGTTCTTGGTAAATAAGATGGCCCTATTTAGTACTTAACTAGCTGCTTACCAACTACTTACCTTTTGTGAAAATATGAAAATAATTAAAATTTATTTATGATTAATATTACAAATCAAGAAACTAATGCAAGTGATTTTTATGGTATTATAGGTTCATGAAAGCTTTAAGTTATGCTTCATTAGATAAAGAAGATTTATTAAGTCCTATTAATCAAAATACTCTGCAGCGGTCCTCCTCAGTGAGGTCCATGGTGTCCAGTGCAACGTATGGGAGCTCAGATGACTATATTGGTCTTGCTCTTCCTGTAGACATCAATGATATATTCCAGGTATCCTAAATACTGTTGTTTTCTTGTGAGTTGGTTTCCTGTTGTCTCATGTTCTATAACTGCTTGCTAGAAATTACAGAGTGAATACTAATTTGGAGAAAGTGATTTTTAAGGCAGTTTAAAGAGATTTTATGAAAATTATTTCACCTTTCTCACCTATTACATATTCTTATTTAGTATCTCCAAGTCTCCAGAACAGTCTCCTCCCTTCTGATGCCTTAATTGTAACTCTGCATCTTGTTTGGTTTCCTTATCAGTAAATTCTCTGTAGAAATTTAGTGAATTCTTAGCCTTGCTTTTTAGTCACATTTCACTTGTTCCTTGTTGGCTTTTTTAAAATTGATATACAACTGACACATAACACTGGGCAAGTCTGGGGTGCACAATGCATTACTTGTTTTTTAAACCCTTGATCCTGTTTATCCCGAACAGGACAGCACATGCTGTTCCTGTCATGTAAGGTGGCCCTGATCCCATTAGGTACTTACAGATCCCTATGTGGTAGATAGTACTAAAGAGTACACATGCTCTGAAGTCTAAAGACATTTTGGATAAATTCTAAAACAATTACTTTGATATCCATTTAAATCACCAAGAATAGATAAGGACTTGAAGAGTCTATGTCATCTTGTCAGGTTTTGGTAATTTAAGCTTCTTCAGTAAACTGTTTTTGTAGGTTCATGTGCTGTAGTAATTCCATTTAATTTGATTTTGCTGCTGTTCATAAAGTGGGTTTCTTCTTATAGCAGAACTTATCATGGTTTGTGTCTTTTAGGTAAAGGATATTCCTTATTTTCAGACTAAAAACATACCTCCACATGATGATCGAGGTGCGAGAGTGTTTGCTCATGAAGCAGGAGGTAATTCATGGTTTTGTTCTCGAGACTTTCCTTATATTAAAAAGAAAAACAATTTTTAAAGAAAATTTAAAAGAATGTTATTTTTGGTAAGATGACACTACAAATTCAGGTATACTTACTTTTGGATCATTTATAGCAAAATAATTGTTTGAGTCCATTTAAAATTAAAACACAATTTTTTGTGTGAGAGGGACTTAAAGTGTTTTTCCACCTAAGTACCCAGCCCCTAAAGTGACAAAAACTAGATCAGTTATTTCTGTTTTAAAAAATAATACATGAAAAATGTGTAACACTAGTCCTCATATGTCTACGAAATAGCCATTTGGGTGAAGGAGAGAGATGAAAATGTACCTGCACATTACATGATCTCTTGTTGTGGCCTGTAATGTTTTAATGAGCATGTGCATATTGGCCACAGGGTTAAAGCCTTATCATCTTGGTCATTGTTTTAAAGAAGGACCTCTTTGGACTCAGAATTATTACTTCTCTGAAAATATTGAGGATAAGTGAAACGATGCCTTAATTGTACAATCTCAGTTTCCATTTTGTATCTAATAGGAACGTATCTGCTGACTTTATATTATTTTCCTAATTAAAGCAAATTATTCTTTTCCCAGTTAAGGTTAGATTTTGAGTGATGAAAAGAGCTCTGGTTTTCTCCCTAGCTTCCCTCCTTTAAAATTCCATGTAGGTTAGTGTACCCTGAAAGAAATGCCATGGGTATGTCCTTATCAGACTGTGTGTTATGTTTACTTTTGTACAGGTGTTCCATCTGGAACTGGAGGTCTTGTGAAAAACTCCTTTCACTTGCTACGGCAGCAAATGAGTCTTACGGAAATAATGAACTCAATCCATTCAGATGCTTCTCTGTTTTTAGAGAGTACAGAAGACACTGGCCTACAGGAGCATACAGACGATAACTGCCTGTACTGTGTCTGTATCGAAATTCTGGGTTTTCAGCCCAGTAACCAATTGAGTGCAATATGTAGTCACTCAGGTGGGTGATTATGTAGATGAATCCACCTGTATTTGAATCTGCTTCAGTCACAGGTTGTCCCTCAGCCCTATCCAACATCCCTCATATGCCATTCTCACGCTTGGCTCAGTCACTCAGCATCTCCCTTCTGGAGTAGTGTTTCTGTCTCCATTTGTGGCCCCTTCTAGTTTTCTTTTATACTGTTGCCTGGGATTAATCTCTTGAAAGTTCTTTACTATCTGTTCATGCCTGGCATGCAAGGCTCTGTTTGTGGTCTGTCTGGTGTCTTTTTCACCATTCTCTCTCACAGTTGACATACCCTTACTGACTGGAAGGTTTTGAACAAGTTTTGCTCTTTTTCATCATTCTAGGCATAAAAGATGTGTTTTCCCTGCTGTTCTTCCCGCCCCCGCCCCTTCTCACACACATGCAAATAAAATCTTATGTATACATATCTTGAGACTTTAACAAATTTCATTATTTGAGTAGTCTGAATTTACTTTGAAAATCATCATGGAAAATAATTGTTGAGAACTGAACAGAAACTAAAAGGAATCGTCTATGGTATATAGTGCAAACATAGGCATTAAGCCATTACCACCATACTTTAATTGAAATAACTGATTTTTTTCTTCAGACCTTCAAGACATTCCATATTCTGATTGGTGTGAGCAGACTCTCCATAATCCCTTAGAAGTGGTTCCCTCTAAATTCTCGGGGATTTCTGGATGTAGTGATGGCGTGTCTCAAGAAGGCTCAGCCAGCAGCACCAAAAGCACAGAATTGCTCCTGGGTAAGTTTTCACATTCAGATCCTGGCATTGTTATAAAATTAAGTTTGTTGTTCATAAATAATGTTAATTAAAGTTGTCTGAGAACTAGGACATCCATTTCAGTGAGACCTGTTTAGCCAACTATTACACTTACTTATATCAGCACCTATATGAACCCTCTTAGCTGCCTGCTTTTGTTAGAATTTTGTTCTCAAATGATCAGCAGAGCATGTGCAGTTGATTTCAGTTTTAAATCTTTAGGTAAAGTTTAACAACAAATTCCATGACTTATAATCATTTTCTATTGTGATATAGATAAAATATTTTAATCTTCTTTTCAGGTGTTAAAACAATTCCAGATGATACACCAATGTGCCGTATACTCCTTCGCAAAGAAGTTCTAAGATTAGTCATTAATTTGAGTAGTTCAGTTTCAACTAAATGTCATGAAACTGGGCTTTTAACGTAAGTTAATACTAAGCATGAGTATTCTTTGTTCTGCTTTTTATGGTGAAAAAGATGCTTGAAATATTTCAAAAGGTAGACTGATTAGCTTGCATCAGTAGTCCTTAGCATGGTATGTCTGTATGAGGTTAGATTTTCTTCATATACTCCAATAACGTGGTAACGGAGTAAATGCAGAAGCAGGTATATGAATCCAGCTGTCTTCTGTTAAGCCAGACTTTAAAGAAATCTGTAAAAGTATAAAATAGTACTATTTTTTTTTTTAGTTTTGGAAAGTCTATTTTTTTATTAAAATATATGTATTTATGTTAACATGTAATGGGTTTACTTTTTTAATGAATTAATATTTTGGAGTTTTTTCTATTTTAATTTCTAATATGGTAATTATTTTTGTCTATAACCCCCCAAAACATAAACTTTTGGGGATTTTTGATAATTTTTAAGAAACGGAATCCTGAGCCCAAAATGTTTGAGAAAACCTGGCCTACATAAAAGCAAGTGATATTTTCTTAGATTAATTTCCCCTTATTTTTCCTTCTTTTTCTTAATAAAATTTGCATAAATTTTATTGTTTTTCTGAATCACAGCAATATGATAAAAGGAAATTCAGGCTGTATACTCAACATTTTTGGCTTGTACTATTTAAAGCAGTGGTCCTCAAAGGAAAAAAACCTCAGGGTCTCCTGGGAGGCTTAAAAACAATAGTAGCACAGATGCCAGGGTCTCACTGAAGAGCTGGCCAGCACTCTAGGAGTTGTGGGTCCTGACCCATGTACTGTCCCGCCCACCCCACCACTGACTCTGAGGCGCTGTCCTAGCTAAAGCCACTGTTTAAAGGTTGAAAGATACAAAGAGATAGCACAGTCAAGGGTATCAATAACTTCAGTCTAACTTAAAAAACTGATTTCTATTTTAAAACTTAATTTTGAAAGTATGTGAGTCATCCTAGACTGAAAAAGAATATTTCTAACTTTCCAAAAAACATTTGGGTTTTGATTATTTTAAAAGAGAACTCAAAATGTAAGTTATCTAATTTAAGTGTGAGGAAGGAATATTTAGTGTTCTATATTCGTATGCTATCACTGCAGATAGGCCATCTAATTGGTATCTGGAGACACAATGTTTAAAAAGTGATACTCTGGAGGAACAGTAGTTGTTATAGTTTTCATCTGAACAGAGTCTTTGCCTTTCGTTGTAGGATTAAGGAGAAGTATCCGCAGACGTTTGACGACATCTGCCTTTACTCAGAGGTTTCCCATTTGCTGGCACACTGCACGTTTAGACTTCCGTGTCGGAGGTTCATACAAGAATTATTTCAAGATGTACAGTTTATACAAGTAAGTAGGATTTGTATTTCTGAAGTTTATCTTTCAGAAAGTCTATGTTTGAGTTAAAACAGAGATAATATCGCTGATATACTAGAAAGTCACTAAACTGGACCACTTCTTTCCTAGATGCATGAAGAAGCAGAGGCTGTGTTGGCAGTACCACCAAAGCAGCCTGTAGTTGATCCATCGGCTGAGTCCTGACCTCGTATTTATGATGTATATAGGTGGATACTATTTACATACTCACAGTGTGCAGCTCGTAAAGGCCTCTGAAAATGCCACAGACTGGGCAGCAGGGGCAGGAGCATCCTCTGTGCACTGTGCTAGCAGTTTGGGCGCACAGACGGGAACTGCCGACTCCCCAACCTAACATCTTCCTCTCTCCCCGCGAGCCCCTTTCGGGGTTCATTGTTCATTAGCACAGTTTTAAAGGTTTTAGTTACCATCATATGCAAGAGCCAAGCACTGAAGACCTACATCGGTTTTCTATTTTTTTCATTTTAAGTGCGTAATAACAGTGGAACAATAATAGGATATGCAGAGGCACCCTTCACACAGTTAAATAAAAAGATGGCTTGTTTGTTAACTAATTCATGGACACCAGGCATCAGTGTCACTGAGGCTGCATCCTGTCACCACAGTGGGCTGTGCTTTTCCTAATGTTTGTAACACTACTTCAGAGCTTTGTGACCTCAAAGCAAAAGAAGAGCCTCAATGACTGGGACTTATAAGTTATTTTTATGTTATTAGACTTGCATAAAGTTTCCTATTTGTTTCCCTTCCTTCAGTTTTGTTGCAATGTGTTGTTATTAGAGGCTATTTGAACAGATTAAGGTTTTTCACTACAGTTCCTGATTAAAACCAGAAAACCATTTTACAGTTCAGCTGTTTCCCACTTACAGAATGCTCCCAGTTACAGAATGCGCGTAGATGCTCAGTGGACTGCTGGTCTCATCCACTTCCATATCACCGTTTGTTTAAACAGGAACTTGAATAAGCACTAGGAATTTAGACCTACAGCAAAAGAAAGCATTAAGTGATACTTTAAGGAAAGAAAAGTTAAGTTTGCCTGCAGTTTACTACACATTCCATGGGAAAAGAAGAGCCATATTTTCTTTTAAAAAATTATTAATGACACTGTTATTAGGATTAAAAATTGTAGTGAAAAGCCTTAAGTACCAAATTTTAAAGCAGCAGTAATTTAATTTTGATATCAGTGTTCTTGTTTTGCACAAACTAAATGCAGTGATAGGTTAGTTTATGAGTACAGTAATTGCCTATATCACATTTGTGAAATTAAGTTGATAAGGGTAAAGTTTTGTTTATTTGTATGTTTAATTTGTATATGTCTAACAGGAATTAACATATATGCAAATTTGTATATAAAAAATAGCATGGCCATCACCATTAGAATGCTTGTAAATGAAAGGATTATCTTTTTTGAGGTCTATATATAAACAAAAAATTCCAGCTGGACTGATTAGGACCCTTTTTTAATTCATTTGTGTATACCATTTTTACAGTCACACATCAGCTCTGACATAGTCATAATACATTGATTAATACTTTCCCATATTACAGATCCTTTTTATAATGGGCTTGTGCTCCGAGATCTCTGTAAAGAACCCTGTAAACTAGAAAACATAACGCACAGAGATACTTTTATTTTTAATTTACTGGCACTGAAAGTTCCAGTTGGGGTGGAGCATTTCATCTCACTTTATAACACCTCTGCACTTCAGCGAACTGTTCTCATGTGCACTGTGTAGCAACTTACACATCTAACAGCAGACAAGGGCTGAACTGCTACTTTGGGTAAAAGTGGCTCTTCAGACTTTCTCTCAAATCCAATTGAAGATAAAACACACTTTTTTACACTTTAACTTATCCGGAACCCAAGTGTTTATTTAAATTTTGAGTTTTAAGAGAGTAGCCTGTCACCTTGGTCTTTGGTCTTGGATGATTAAACTGCCTTCTAGAGAACCAGATGTCAGAGATACTAGACCAGACAGTGCTTAAAAACTCCGCGGGACATAATAGATTAACATAGTAGACATTCATTTTAAACACTACCTCAGTTAATGTTAACGTAGAGCATAAAATCTGTGGTTTAATCCCTCAGAAGGTAACAGTAATTCTTTTTTGTCATACATGCATCATCCCCACCCCTAAACCCCACCTCACTTGTTCACCCGGAAATGAAGTCTTCATTGGTGTTAATCTGAACAGTTTTTTTGACAGTTACTTTGAAAGACTTGTGTGTGTATACATCATATTTACCTTTAGCACTTAGTTTGGGGAGACACTCAGAGCTTTGTGGTTATCAGTAACTTAAGGGAAAAAATGTACTTAAATGTATAGTACTACATGGTTTATCCATGTTTCACTGACAGGTCTAATATGTTCTCTTTGAGTACTAGTTTGTATAAAAGTAGACGTTGATGAAAAATGCTCATGATGCAGTGCCAAGTGATTAACTTAGGTGTTTAAAAATATTAAATTATAGCAGAACAGGTTAGGAATGGCGTCAGTGGTAACAAATAATTGAAAAATCATCTATAAATAATAGATATTACCAGACTATAAAATCCCAAAATAATGTCAATATTATAGTTTTTCAAGATTTTAGAATTAATCTTAGTCCATATAAATTTGTACTATTGGTAATTATTGATAATTTCGAGGAATTTGGACAGTTATGCTGGTTGTAAACTGTGAATTTTTAATTGTAAAGTAAATTGTTATTTCTAATTGAAATTTTTTTCAAGAACAGATCTCAGTTTCACACACTAAATAAATACTAATAAATAAGGAAATTAGAAATTAGCATTTGTAATTAAATATGATCTAAAATTTCTTAACACTTTTATTTCCTGTTTATGCTTAGGTAGATTTGAGGGGGAAAGTTTCTTCTCCCTAATAAAAAATTTTTTAATCAAGATTGGTAGCATATGGACATCCTATAGGACAGTGACATTAAAAAAGGCTCATTGCAGGTCGGTATATACATTGCTGCACTAGTTACTCTAATATGTGTGCAAGTCCTTTTAAAATGGTGGCTTTAATAGTTTTCATCTCTTACCCAGAGCTTGAAACAGTTAAAGCTGAGTTTTTCTGGGCATATTACAATGGCAAAGTGCTCAACGGAGAGGTGTCAGTGCTTATTTAGATTTGTCAACTGCTATTTATATACAGATTTTCATTCCATTCAGAGGATGCCTTTTATCCCACATTAAGCACAGACAATTAAGCAATAAAAACCAAATTGTCATCCAAATTATAACTGCAATTATTTTTGCATGGTAAGAGTGAGGTGCTAATTTTGTGTGAGATGAGCTTTGTAAACTACTTGGGAAAGGTCCCTTGGAAGTAAGGTTTTTACCTTTGTCCTATGCTTCCAGGTGTGTCTCACATTCACAATCCATTAAAACATGGGGAAAAAGAAAAGGTAGATTTAATTGCCAGAGTTTCCTGAGAAGAGCTGTTGGAATAAAAGAGCATTTCACATTTTCCAAAATGTAAGTTGGAAAAGGTCTCCCTTGTCTGCCATTCAGGAAATACATTGTACCAGTTTCATGTCAAGTACTACTTCAGCGAGAATTTTATTAGGAAAGCTTGCCAAGGAAACCGATGGCAATGCTTGTCAAGCGACGCTGAAATCTGCGGTCTTTCTAGGAGCACTCTTTTTCCTTTAGTTTCAGGTTCCCAGGGTATTTTTCATTCGTAGTCGGTTTATGTGACTCGCTCAGAATGTGGATTTTCCCCCTTTGAGTATTTTTGTAATGTAGGTGGATAGCTATGCCACAGCATGCATAAATTGCACATTTTGTTTGACTTTATAAAATATTTAATTTGAAAAATATAATTTATGCCAAAAAAGTATACCTTGTAATTTTGCCACTAAAAAGGTTGATTTAGCACAAAATGCAAAAGGAGCAGAGGGGAGAGGGGAGATAAAAAATTTTTCATAGATAATAGTTGAAAAATGTTCCATTACTGGCTTGTCAGAAATCCTGACGCTGCATTGTAAAACAAATGGTGTAAATTAGTTTTGAGAAGTGGTAAGGGATTGTGAAAAAAAATCTCAGATTAATGCTCCCTGACCACATGATCTTTTTTTTTTTTTAGTAATACGCTGCTACATATTTGGAGGTTCTGGTGTTTGTAGGTCACTGAACAGACATTGAAATATGATCTATATTGTATAACTGTAACATAGAAAGAAAAAGTATTTATATATTTTCCGTAAGAATATTTCATTGAGTTATGTATAATTTAAACAAGGTTTGTCCCCAAATGGTTTTTCTCACCTTTTTTTTTTTTTGTGGTTTTCTTGTTTTTGTATAATGTGTACAGTTTATGTCAAGGGCATTAAAAGCCTCCTGAAGCATAACCTTATCAAAGGGATACATTCTTAATAAAATGTACTTAAAATTCTTAAACTTGTGTTGTTCTGTTTGAAATTTTAAAACTGTTGATTTGAATATATGCCAATGAGGCTGATATATATGCTTCCCAGTAAAAGTGACTTTTAGGCAACACAGATAATCTAGTTCAGTGACACATTTGTGGCTTGTTCGAAATGTTTTAAAATAGCTATTTACACTTTCTTAAACATTCTTCATAATCCGGTCAAACATATCCTCACAGTTTTAACCTCAAATCATTATCAAGGGTTTGGAAAAATGGATGCATCTTTAGACAGAACAGTTCTGAGTTTTTTGAGGATGATGGTATTTCATCACTTCTGTGGAAGGTACTTGATTTCTCACTCAGAAACTGGCCTGGGCAGATAGGGTAATGTACAGCCCCCTAGTGGCAAAAGAGTATATCACAAGGGAGATTACCAAGCCTGGAGAGGAAGATTCAGTGTCAAAGCTGGGGTCTATTATAGCTGTTCAATGTGGTAAAATGTATGTCTCACTTTTAGAAATAGGTTTATTTTGATCTTTAAGCACATTTCTGTTTATCATTTTTTCATTGCCTTTCACTGTATATGTCGTTCAACAAAAGCAATAGGCCCCCAAATACAAAAAGTAGAGTTAATCATCCTACAACTGATCTTTGAAAAACATGATAATACAGCTGAACGTCAGAAAATTTGTTTCACTTTTAAAAACTATTTGATATATAAAAATACTCAAAAAAAAGTACTGTCTTAGTCCATTCGGGCTACTGTAACAAAATACCACAGACTGGGGAGCTAATAAACAACAGAAATTTATTTCTCACAGCCGGGTTGGCTGAAGTCTGAGGCCAGACGTCCAGCATGCTCAGGTGAGGCCGTCTTCCGAGGCCCAGACTTCATGTCCTCACGTGGCGGGAGGGCCTAGGGAGCTTCGTGTGGCCTTGCACAAGAGCATGAATCCGACTCGTGGAGGCTCCAACCTCATGACCTATTCACCTCCAAAGCCCCACCTACCAGTACCACCATCTTTGGGGGTTAGAATTTCATACAAATTTGGCGGGGCATGGGCACAATCATTCAGACTATACCAACTACTTTTGTATTGATCTCCAAAAAAGAAATCAAAATGTACTTAAAGATTGTTTCTTTGAGGCTTATCATAGAAGACAGATGACTACATTTGCCTAGTCCTTTGAACATACTGCTAGTTACTGTGTTGTAAATAACTGCTAATTCTGAAGGCTTTTTATCTTGTTTTCTCTCAGGGGTTTTTAAAGTTCTCTATGCAAAATATTTAATGTTTTGTAAATTTGGGGGGATGAGAGCCAGCTTGTCTTTCTGCAGAGCTCTTAGAATAAGTAGATGGTGTCTAATTCAACTTGATTTTCTTAATAAGCACACATTCTGCTAGAGCGTCAGTTTCGCTTGGATTGCTAGGAGTCGGGTGTTAGAATGTCCGTGGACACTCCCAGCAAGTTCGTGGCTGCTGTGCAACTAGGCCCCTACCCCAGCCTGAGCCATCATGGTACCCGCCTGCGCCCGAGGACCAGTCTCCATGCCGATGCGGTATGTATAGGTCATTAATGTCAGCTCTCCCCACCATCAAAATATCCTGATATCTCTCAGGGTAATTATTACTAAGTTGGGTTTAAGTGCAATTTTATAAAGGTGTTATGGTTATGTTAGAAAAAGTACAGCCCATTTAGAGAGAAAAATATTTACAGATGAAATCAAATGATTTGCTTCAAAATAGTATCCGGAGTGAAAGTGGGTAAGTCTATGGATGGCTGAAATAGCCGTGGGTCAGTGGTTCTTGGGGCTGATGATTTTACGTAGGGGTTTATTAAACTATTTTACTTTTTTTTTTTTATTGTTGGCAGTATTACAGATGTCCCCCAATTTTCCCCCCTTAGCCCCCCC